AATAAATAGCCCCCATTACAGATGTGAGTCACACCACTTAATGCACTTTTGGAAGATGCTCAAATACCACAGTGATGGGCACAGCATAAGACTTTGAAAAGCACAAAATAGAAATAGAATGGAGAAAGGAAGTAGAGCCCCCGGGACTAGCCATTCATACCGACACTTGGTCACCATAAATTATCCAAAATTTAGAGGAAATCCATGCTTGCCCCTTTCTACAACATTTGAGCAGTTCTTGTGATAATATCTCTAAGCGTCAACTCTATTCCCAGCATCTTTTTTTATTCTCCCATAGTTTTCCGTGGAGTGAAATCACACAGTTTTATTGCTTAGTTAGACAAAAGTACCTTCCACTTGAAAGGGAGCTTGCCTTCGAAGAGAATTACGCTTGAACAAAGACGGTAGGATTTAGCTCTTCCTTTATCTATATGCAACAACAATAGTTCGTTCATATAAATATATTTGGGGTTTTTTGAATATATTGCAACTCCTTCTTTTTTCCTTCTCTGGACAGAAAGAAAATAACTGCCAAGAGAATTAAACCCAGTAATTAAACCCAGAATTAAACCCAGTAATAGCTACTCAGAAGTGCAGAACAAGGTGTGGCTTGACTTTGGTGGAGGATTGTGATTAATAAATCCGTAGCTTTTTTCAGACTAAACATGTATCTGAAGGTTTCAAGGAGCCACTTCACTTTAAGAAAAATAAAACTGGTGAGTTGCTAATCTGACACTGTATCAGTTCTCAGTATCCTATAAACTATTATGGGCCATCTATCCAAATTCCATTGACAATAGCATTTTTACAAAACAGCTGTTTTAGGCTGTCCTTTGTGCATAAACTTTATGTTCTACCGTTTCCGTTACTGCTTACACGGGACTCAAGAGGAAACTTCAGTGAGAAATAATGGGAAACTAAACGCCACATAAAGTTTATACTTTATTTTCAGATTGTGATGAAGACCTATCTTTTGTCCATTGTCTGCTTTCAAGACACAGATGTTTACAAATGAAAACAGTTCCGTTTCATTTCTTAGAGTTGATTTTACCTTGTCATTATTTGAGAATGGTTTATTTTTCATTTGTAAGCTGAACAATTAAAACTGATCCTAGCTTTGTCTCTTCCTTCAGTAAAATAATGTAAACAATCCTGCCTTTAACAGGCATAATCAGCAACAGCACAGGAAGCTGTCAGCGTTCTAGTTACCTTTAGAAGCTAAGCGGTTAATTCTTTACGTCCATTTTTTTCAGGCACACAGAAAGCAACTTCCATTAAAAAAACTACATACATATTTCTACAGAGTATCATATTGAAATCATAGATTATATTAGATCATAAATATTATATAGTCTTAAAAAAAAAAGCTGCCAGGGACCTTTTTAAAAATTGTAATGCTACTATTATAGATTAAAACTGCAAGTGGAATAACCTTCCATTTCATTCTTTGCTAATGATTTTTACGAGTGCAGAGATTTCAAGACAAAAAATATATATTTTCTGTTTTGATATACCATAACATTTAGAAATGCAGAAGAGCTTAAACACTTTTTAAAATGAAAGTGCCACAGTAGCAAACAAACTGCATAATATTAGACTGAAAGTTATTTAGTTTTGATTCTTTGGAGTAATACAATGAGACAGGGTACTTGCTTTCCAGTGCTTACATCACACTGTCATTCTTCAGAATGTTCAGCAAATAAAATATCTTCTTAAACAGCCATTTAACTGATTTTAGGAGCAGACCGCCTCCCAGTTTAGTAGCTGTCACATAAATGATAGCGGAAGTTTCAGTTTCCGCTGTGCCACTATCCATAAAGCGATGCACCTTAGAAACACACTTCCAGAGCCAGCAACGAAAGCCCAGAAGGCCGCGTTCAGGTACTGAGTTTGAAGGGGCAGCTCAAGTCAACGTGCCCAGGACACAATACTAATTCTCCCGCTTTAACTTGCTTTGTTCTGGTATTAAAAAAAAAAAAAAACCCTCAGTGCTTCAGCTTCACGGCACTCACAGAAGTAACGTGTACGGTAAGGGCAGCTTTGCCCATCTGGAAGCCCTGGGAAAGCAGCGCGATGACTCCGCCGCGGCGGGGAAGCGGTTTTCCTGAGCGCGCTCGGCGCTCGCTAACTAGG